CCTACCTGTAGCTTGTACCATCTAAAAATTCGACATCGAACTCGGTCACACTCCTTCCCTGTTTACAGTTTAAAAAGATCAGTTTAACCTGAAAAAATCCGTGGTCAATTCAGTGTATAAATAATGGACTAACAATTGTCAGTCAGCATTTCATTTGTATTTGCTGACAAGGTCATTGTATCGACCATAGAATTTACGAAATGATGACTTTATGTTGATGTTTCATCAACTTGCTTGTCAATAATTTACCTCGTTTAAGAAATTGTTCATGCGTAGAGCAAGCTCTTGCGTATCGAATCAACTGAGATATATATTCTCCGTATGCAAGTGATGAAGGTATATTGCCGCATAAGTAAGGGAAGTTGACGATAGAAACGTTTATCATCACGTTTATCATATAGCTTGGTTGTTAGATTACCATTAGTGTCTTTTTCAAGTAAAATATCCAAGTATGAAGCAGAAGTTCGGACTCTGTGGTATTTTTATCTCAAGGTCACCAGGATATATCGTGTCGACGTAGGAATGGAAATTATCTTATTTATTGACAATACCTGTACCTTGTATGTAGATAAGAATACGACAAAATTGAATTCCACACCTGTTTTCTTCTTTTCACGTAAAAGATTTTGCAAAATTCTGCTTCATATGAATATAAAAATAAGTTGCTAATAACGGAGCGCAATTTGTATTAGATTGTTGGAATACCTGGTCTCCAAAAACCACGTAGATATTGTTTTACCTCAAGCATCTTTTTGATGTCAACTTCAGAGTATATAATCATAATCCTACATGTCATTCATTGCTGATGATTTATTTCAGATTGAAATTATTACCATGATCTTAAACGGGTTTTCCTACCTACCTGTAGCTTGTACCATCTAAAAAATCGACATCGAACTCGGCGACTCCTTCCCTTTTACAGAAATTAAAAAGATCAGTTTAACCTGAAGTTATGTCCCCTATCTCAGAGCTTTCTATCACCTACCTGTACCTTGTACCAGATAAGAATACGACAAAATATTCGTGTTATTCCAACCTGCCTGTCATAGATTCGGATTTATTTTATACTGAAATTATTACCCTGATCCTACTTGGCAACTCCTTACCTGTTATGGAGATTCAAAAGATAGGTTTAACATGAAGATATGTCCCTGATCTCAGAGCTTTCTCTCACCTACCTGTACCTTGTATCAGATAAGAATACGACCAAAATATTTGTCTTATTCCAACCTGTCTTTCATAGATTCTGATTAATTTTATACTGAATTTCTTACCCTGATCTTACTAGGCAACTCCTCACCTTTTATGGACATTTAAAGGATCTGTTAAACATGAAGATATGTCCCTGATCTCAGAGCTTTCTCTCACCTACCTGTACCTTGTACCAGATAAGAATACGACAAAATATTCGTCTTATTCCAACCTGCCTGTCATAAATTCTAATTTATTTTATACAGAAATTATTACTCTGGTCTTACTCGGCAACTTCTTACCTGTTATGGAGATTCAAAAAAGATAAGTTGAACCTGAAGATATGTCCCTGATCTCAGAGTTTTCTCTCACCTACCTGTACCTTGTATGATAAGAATACGGCAAAATATTCGTCTTATTCCAACCTGTCTTCCATAGATTCGGATCTACCCTTCTTACCCGGCAACTCCTTACCTGTTATGGATAAATGATTTTAACATTTAGATATTCCCTGATCTCAGAGCTTTCTCTCACCTACTTGTACCTTGTACTAGATAAGAAAACGACAAAATACTCGTCATATTCCTACCAGTCTTTCATAGATACTGATTAATTTTATACTGAATTTCTTACCCTGATCTTACTAGGCAACTCCTCACCTTTTATGGACATTTAAAGGATAGGTTTAACCTGAAGATATGTCCCTGATCTTAGAGCTTCTTCTCACCTACCTGTACCTTGTATCAGATAAGAATACGACAAAATATTCGTCTTATTCCAACCTGTCTTTCATAGATTCTGATTTATTTTATACTGAAAATCTTACCCTAATCTTACTAGGCAACTCCTCATCTTTTATGGACATTTAAACGATAGGTTTAACCTGAAGATATGTCCCTGATCTTAGAGCCTCTTCTCACCTACCTGTACCTTGTATCAGATAAGAATACGACAAAATATTTGTCTTATTCCAACCTGTCTTTCATAGATTCAGATTTATTTTTTATTGCAATTCTTATCCTGATCTTACTAGGCAACTCCTCACCTTTTATGGACATTTAAACGATAGGTTTAACCTGAAGATATGTCCCTGATCTTAGAGCTTCTTCTCACCTACCTGTACCTTGTATCAGATAAGAATACGACAAAATATTCGTCTTATACCAACCTGTCTTTCATAGATTCTGATTTATTTTATACTGAAATTCTTACCCTGATCTTACTAGGCAACTCCTCACCTTTTATGGACATTTAAACGATAGGTTTAACCTGAAGATATGTCCCTGATCTTAGAGCTTCTTCTCACCTACCTGTACCTTGTATCAGATAAGAATACGACAAAATATTCGTCTTATTCCAACCTGTCTTTCATAGATTCTGATTTATTTTATACTGAAATTCTTACCCTGATCTTACTAGGCAACTCCTCACCTTTTATGGACATTAAAACGATAGGTTTAACCTGAAGATATGTCCCTGATCTTAGAGCTTCTTCTCACCTACCTGTACCTTGTATCAGATAAGAATACGACAGAATATTCGTCTAATTCCAACCTGCCTTTCATAGATTCTGATTTATTTTATACTGAAAATCTTACCCTAATCTTACTAGGCAACACCTCACCTTTTATGGACATTTAAACGATAGGTTTAACCTAAAGATATGTCCCTGATCTCAGAGCTTCCTCTCACCTACCTTTACCTTGTACCAGATAAGAATACGACAAAATATTCGTCTTATACCAACCTGTCTTTCATAGATTCTGATTTATTTTATACTGAAATTCTTACCCTGATCTTACTAGGCAACTCCTCACCTTTTATGGACATTTAAAGGATAGGTTTAACCTGAAGATATGTCCCTTATCTTAGAGCTTCTTCTCACCTACCTGTACCTTGTATCAGATAAGAATACGACAAAATATTCGTTTTATACCAACCTGTCTTTCATAGATTCTGATTTATTTTATACTGAAATTCTTACCCTGATCTTACTAGGCAACTCCTCACCTTTTATGGACATTTAAACCATAGGTTTAACCTGAAGATATGTCCCTGATCTTAGAGCTTCCTCTTACCTACCTGTACCTTGTATCAGATAAGAATACAACAAAATATCCGTTTTATTCCAACCTGTCTTTCATAGATTCTGATTTATTTTTTATTGCAATTCTTATCCTGATCTTACTAGGCAACTCCCCACCTTTTATGGACATTTAAAGGATAGGTTAAAGATGAAGATATGTCCCCGATCTCAGAGCTTTCTCTCACCTACCTGTACCTTGTACCAGATTTGAATACGACAAAATATTCGTCTTATTCCAACCCGTCTTTCATAGATTCTGATTTATTTCATACTGAAATTCTTACCCTGATCTTACTAGGCAACTCCTCACCTTTTATGGACATGTAAACGATAGGTTTAACCTGAAGATATGTCCCTGATCTCAAAGCTTTCTTTCACCTACCTGTACTTTGTACCAGATAAGAATACGGCCGTATTTTCGTTATATTCCTTCCTGTGTTTCATAGATGTTGATGTATTTTATATCATATTTACCCTTAATTATGTTGGAGGGTTCTTCTAACCTACCTGTATCTTGTACTAGCTTGTAATCCAGGACGAAATAAGAACCAGGTTTCATTTCACTTACCTCTAATCAATTTTACTCAATTCAAGTAAATCAAACTCAATTTAATCAATTCACTTACCACCCTACCCTTTAGACACATTAGAATATAATACACTTAAATAGATATCAGAATTTACTTCTCACACCCATAAAAGGCCACATACCATATTCTGGTACTTTAACTAACCTACCTGTCAAAAAATACTTGATAAGAACACTACTACTTGAAACATGTACCATACTTTAGTTCAACTTCCTTCAACAAGTATAAGATATATACAGTATACAATCAAAATCTAGTCCTTGAACCATCAGTCCTCTTATATATACCTAACTTAAACACACCTAACCCTTACAAGAACTTCCTGCAAGAGGTGATACTATTTCTACCTCTAACTAGTACTTGGCTATTGTCAACTGAACTACAGCAAGAAAGATGGGAATACTATTGAAAATATTTCCAATAGGTACCAAAACATTGTCAAAATGTATTTGTCAAGTGCCTTTTATCACATGAAATAGCCTGCGTCTTGGATATTGGCCTGAACAGCAATTCGGTAGAGCACTTGTATTAAGTGATGCAAGGGTTCAGAGTTACCCCGGTAGATTCCTAGACCAGCCATAATTTTTTTTCCATACCATTACATCATGTAAATATCGAGTCTATGGAGAGAACAATCATGGACATTTATGTCTGCTATTCATTCAAATTCAATGAATATAGTATATTTTAAATCAAATCTCTAATCTTTAATGAAATACTCAATTCTAATTACATATACTCTCCTCCAATGACTTCAACTCTTTTTGTAACTCTTTTCGAAAGTAATTTATGGCATAGTTTTGATAAATTCAAATCAATTGAATTTAAGAAATGTTTTTGCACTGGTTTTGCATTCCTATTAATATATATCATGATAAGACTTTCCCATAAATTTTTCAATTTAGATGAATCGATTTTCAGAAGTATTTGAAGCAATACCCTTTTTAATGTCCTACTCCGCATTTCAATATAAGCCACAGTGTAAAGTCAATTAAACTATAGGACAGTTCAAAACCACTGAAAAATAGAATTGGAATATAAATAACAAATATCAGGTAAATCTACATGCACTTGATGGTGCGTTTTTATTTTTCATCACAGATATCAACCTGAAAGAAATAACAAGCATTGGTGGCAGATAGGGTGGATGGGGGTTAAAAAAATTCAGCAGTTCAATAAACCATGCTTTCTCTTTTGGTAAATGGATCAATATTGATCACGTGATGGATAAGAATGACAATATGTACAATACAGATACTGTTAATTTATAACATTATTAAACAAGAACATGTCACATAAATGAAATTATTTGCAATGATTACTTTTTTTGCTTTACAGAAAATTAACTCCATTTAAGAAGCATCAAGTTGATATGCATTTCAGATTCTATAAATAGTAACTGAAGTCTATATGTTGTTATATACTTAATATATACTTAATCATGTGACCAACTTTAAGCCAATCAGAGGGATTGGAATATTATGATTAAAATAATATGTTCTAATATATAACAAGGCACTTAAAGTAAATCATATACAAATTGCAATTTTACAAAACCTTCATGATGAAAAATTGAAGTGCCAATATTTAATTATATTGAAATTGTTTATTTAAATATGAAAAGACTGCAAAGTAGTTTTTGTTTGCATGTGCTCCTTGGATTTAAAAATCCCTAATAACATTTCTTATGTAGTTAGCTACTACATTAGGCAAAAATAAAGAGCCATGGACACATACACTAATACACATCCACACCAAAATCAAAAAAAGGTTTATGAACTCTTCGGGTAAAGGCGGCACTCAGCTTCAGATGAGGACAAATTCCATAACAGTGCCGCGAGCAAAATCTCCCCTTCAACAAACAAAACATCCCTGAAATACTGCAGTCCTTCATTCATATTTTGGCCCATCCTGTAAGACAGAAAAATAAGATGATGCAATTATATTCATTTGCTTGTGAATTGATGTAGTTGATCCAAATGACAACCTTCATTCAGAATTCAATTATTACTGCTTTACTAACTTGAAATAATATATATTATTATTTTATATATATATATATATATATATATATATATATATATATATATATATATATATATATATATATATATATATATATATATATATATATATATATATATATATATATATATATATATATATATATAGTGTGTGTGTGCATCTCTTCCTGACACAAAATCAATGAAAATTAACCAACCACAAAAGGTGGTAACTTCTTAACTAGAGTTCATTTTTAAAATTTGCCACTTCTGTGTAGAAAATGAACAGAAACTGCCGGTGGACCAACCAATAGACAGCAGTAAAGCAATATGGCCCCCTTTCTTCAATAGGGAGGGGAGGGGAATAAATTTATGAATAAAATTTATACATAAATTTTGGATGTTTGTATAATCATCATATTTCGAACATTCTATAATATACAGAAAAACTTGTTCTTTCAAAATGCAACCATTGCAAATAAATTTTCAGGATACAAAATTCCCTATTTGGGAACATGTTTATCAATTAAATTTATTAAAAGGATAATAAAGGTGGTAGTACATTAAGCAAGATATTGATGTACTTCAAAAGAATTTTTTCTGCTTCTTTCACTGAAAGTGAGGAATATATACTTTGCAAGTTTTTTTTCTGTCAGTCTTTAAGTATATATTTCTGTCTGTGTGTAATACTTTTATTTTTGTTCAAATTATCTCTTTTATTCCTATGGCCTGAGGTAGACCCCTGCAGATTGCAAGTTCAGAAAGTCAAAGGTCATGGTTGTAAACTATTACATTCAACTTTCTTTTGCAGTGATATCCCAACAAGCTTTTGATTGTTTTCATTAATTTTTATACATCATTAATGCCTATGGCCCTGCCTGCCCTTCTCAAAGTCCCCCTCTTGAGTCCAGCCCCCTAGATCTGTGTATCCTCTCCTTTTTCCCTGAAGTTGTGTACACTCATTCTATAAATTAGCTTGATATCTTATTTTTTTTCTATATACTGTCAATCTTCGTTATCTAGAACACTGATATCTCTACTACCATGGAGATGCAATGTGATAAGGATACATCAAAAGCTTATTCCTTCATTATTCTACCTTGGATATCTCTAACCCTCAGATGTCTGAATTTTATTTCTCGATCCCATCAGGTTCCAAATGAAGAATTTCAATAGAGATACAAGTTATTTATTCTGGTGAAGTTTGTACTATTAAAAGTTACTGATGCCACACAACATACAGCAGACAGAAATTAGGGACTCCTTGAGCTTTGTTTCGAAAAGATTATAAGAACCTTAAGCCTAATTGCAGTAAAAAGTCTCTGATATAGGTTATGCATTATGAAATCAAGGATGACAAAATATTTCTCTCTCTTTCTCTCTTACAAAATTGAACAATTTAAAAAATATTCAAATTTAAAAGGAAGGATAAAGGTAGGAAGTAAACACATACTCATCTTCTAGTGTAGCCATGAGAAGTCTGTTGGTGTTATCCTTCATGGACAAATAGTGACCATGGCAGTAACCTATTCTTCTGAAGTTGGAAATAAGATACATGGAAACATCAATATGAGGAACTTATGTCAATTACCATTGTGATAAAAGAAATATGTATATAACAGAGGCCCAATGGCCTTAACTCTCACCATATAATGTAATGATCTATAGATCAAAATAAAAACACTGATAAATGAAATTTACAATTTTTGTTTCCCTTTACCCATAGATGATATATGTCGAAATTGGTAGAACTGTTTCAAAGGATATTAAGCTGAAAATTTTTCAAATTTTTCAAATTTAACATCAATGCTCCATTGCATGCACATCATGTGGAGAAAACAGGTAGAAAGCAATAGTGGCGAAAATTTACTATCTGGGAAAAATGCATGAAAAAAATGAACTTACATGATTGATTTAGGCTTGAACACCCCAAACTCTCCCAAAATCAAAGCTTTCAATTCTGGTAAACCCTATAGATGGAATAAAATATTTGGTTTGAAATTATAATTTTATCAATATATAAAAGCACATACATATTTGATTTCACTATTTACTATTACTATTAATACTAATTGCTTGCTTTTTCATTTTAGGATACAGTAGTTAGTTGTATTAAAATCTGATAATCTGTTTTGATACATATGAACAAATGATACCTTTCCAAAAAGTTTTGCTCTCTCCTCAATTCCCTTCTCCGAATTTCTAAGTTCCAAGGCTTCATTGAGAGGCTTTCTTTGAACCCATCTGATATGCCTCCAATGTGGTTCATAGCAGCTTTAATTAAATTTTTAGAACGTCAATTAAAAAAATCATCAAATGGGCAACTTTAATTAACCTAACAATATCTGGTATCTAATTTCAACTTCAATAATAATTAATTATAAATATGGTTATCTCAAACTGTGAAAGTGCAGAATATAGGAGAAATATATTTCATGTGTAGGATATTTACTAGTCCAGAGGTCGATATGACCTTCCTTTGAGGTATCATCTCCAAAATATATATATATACATATATTGTCATGGGATATTTAGATAATGGTGTTGTGTTCAAAAACAAAATATATCGTGCCAAGACCGCGTGGCTGTGGTTTGTTCACTACTGGCCACGTGCAACTTTAATAAGTTAAAAATAAATCATCATACCAATGTCACTAAAATTTTTAGATTCCCAGACTATGGAGAATCTACTGGTAGTGCTCCTCTCGAACTGTGCTACCTTCTCATAGGCTTCTTGCACTAAATGTGCGACTGCCTCCTCCTCTAGACTTTCCATCTCAATCCATACCCTAATAAATGGCGCACTTTGTCTATTTTCTTACCTCACAACACAGGAGAGTTGCTAAACATAAGTGGGTGGATAAAAATACTCTCGGTCATCAAGTAGAACGAATTGGTAAATATAAACATATATATGACGCGGATCTCGATATTTTTCATGGGGGCGGGCGTATAATATTGAAGAGGAACAAAAAAAAATTTAACGTACTTCTTACTTACACTGAATCAAACTTCAAAGTGTTCACCTAACATTTAGAAAGATATAAAGATTAAATGCATATAATAGTTTAATTAATTTCTTTAATTCATGATTAATGAGGCATATTTCAGTTTGATGTTGCGTAAACTTCATGTACATATAAATGTACATGTATATGTATCTCAGCTGAATTTAAACATGCGCGGATCTAGGGGGGAGAGACCCCCTTGGAATTTACAAGATTAAAAAAATGTATTATAAAAGCAAGAAAAAAGTTACCTTGGACCCCCCCCCCCCCCCCTGGAAAATGCTGACCCCCCCCCCCCCCCCAATAAACGTGAATATGTGTGAAATGGGTTTGAAAAGACAAAGATTTTAGGAAATAGACTTTCCAGACTATCAAGGTCAACGAAAAACTACAATATAAGTGAATAAAAGGTGTTGCAAAGATAATCCAGATATCACTCATGAACATTCCAACGGCTCTCCCTTCTTTCTCAGTGATCAATTTGCACAACTTTTGTGTTCTTCTAGTGACAAGTTCTCCAAATTTTATAATGATCACCAAAAAATGTTCAATACACACAACACGTTGCACAAAGTACAGCTTTATCATTGCTTAGCTTCTCAGGGAACATTGGTTTTCATCGGTGGTATTTGATTTCCTTTCAAACATTCTTTTTTGGAAGACACATTTATTGTTACAGTAAGAAAATGAAAATATCTGTTCATAACATTCGATAAAGTAGTTATAAAATAAAAACATTCATTAGAATGAACACTTAATAGTTTTGTTAAATTTATCAATGTAGTTGAATAACCAAAAAGGATACATTGTAAGAGCCTAATATCAAATGAAGAAAATATTAACTAAAGTGCACAATGGTTACGTAAAAATCTAATTCTCAATAATTTAACAATCCAAAAAATATTTATTAAAGCTAATGATGTCAGAAACTGGGTTCTCATGTGGTACAATCTACAGGCATATGATAAATTATATATTGACAAATATTTGGTCGTATTCTTATCTGGTACAAGGTACAGGTAAGTGAGAGAAAGCTCTGAGATCAGGGACATATCTTCAGGTTAAACCTATCTTTTAAATTCCATAAAAGGTGAGGAGTTGCTGAGTAAGACCAGGTTAATAATTTCAGTATAAAATAAATCAGAAGGAAGTTGGAATAAAAGTATGGTACATGTTTCAAGTAGTAGTGTTCTAATCAAGTATTTTTTGACAGGTTGGTTAGTTAAAGTACCAGAATATGGTATGTGGCCTTTTATAGGTGTGAGAAGTAAATTCTGATATCTATTTAAGTGTATCATATTCTAATGTGTCTAAAGGGTAGGGTGGTAAGTGAATTGATTAAATTGAGTTTGATTTACTTGAATTGAGTAAAATTGATTAGAGGTAAGTGAAATGAAACCTGGTTCTTATTTCGTCCTGGATTACAAGCTAGTACAAGATACAGGTAGGTTAGAAGAACCCTCCATAATAATAAAGGGTAAATATTATATAAAATACATCAACATCTATGAAACACAGGAAGGAATATAACGAAAATACGGCCGTATTCTTATCTGGTACAAAGTACAGGTATGTGAAAGAAAGCTTTGAGATCAGGGACACATCTTCAGGTTAAACCTATCGTTTTAATGTCCACAAAAGGAGAGGAGTTGCCTAGTAAGATCAGGGTAAGAATTTCAGTATAAAATAAATCAGAATCTATGAAAGACAGGTTCGAGTAAGACGAATATTTTGTCGTATTCTTATCTGATACAAGGTACAGGTAGGTGAGAGAAAGCTCTAGATCAGGGACATATCTTCAGGTTAAACCTATCGTTTAAATGTCCATAAAAGGTGAGGAGTTGCCTAGTAAGATCAGGGTAAGAATTTCAGTATAAAATAAATCAGAATCTATGAAAGACAGGTTGGAATAAAACGAATATTTTGTCGTATTCTTATCTGATACAAGGTACAGGTAGGTGAGAGGAAGCTCTAAGATCAGGGACATATCTTCAGGTTAAACCTATCGTTTAAATGTCCATAAAAGGTGAGGAGTTGCCTAGTAAGATCAGGGTAAGAATTTCAGTATAAAATAAATCAGAATCTATGAAAGACAGGTTGGAATAAGACGAATATTTTGTCGTATTCTTATCTGATACAAGGTACAGGTAGGTGAGAGGAAGCTCTGAGATCAGGGACATATCTTCAGGTTAAACCTATCCTTTAAATGTCCATAAAAGGTGAGGAGTTGCCTAGTAAGATCAGGGTAAGAATTGCAGTATAAAATAAATCAGAATCTATGAAAGACAGTTTGGAATAAAACGAATATTCTTTCGTATTCTTATCTGATACAAGGTACAGGTAGGTGAGAAGAAGCTCTAAGATCAGGGACATATCTTCAGGTTAAACCTATCCTTTAAATGTCCATAAAAGGTTGAGGAGTTGCCTAGTAAGATCAGGGTAAGAATTTCAGTATAAAATAAATCAGAATCTATGAAAGACAGGTTGGTATAAGAGGAATATTTTGTCGTATTCTTATCTGATACAAGGTACAGGTAGGTGAGAAGAAGCTCTAAGATCAGGGACATATCTTCAGGTTAAACCTATCCTTTAAATGTCCATAAAAGGTGAGGAGTTGCCTAGTAAGATCAGGGTAAGAATTTCAGTATAAAATAAATCAGAATCTATGAAAGACAGGTTGGAATAAGACGAATATTTTGTCGTATTCTTATCTGATACAAGGTACAGGTAGGTGAGAGAAGCTCTAAGATCAGGGACATATCTTCAGGTTAAACCTATCGTTTAAATGTCCATAAAAGGTGAGGAGTTGCCTAGTAAGATCAGGGTAAGAATTTCAGTATAAAATAAATCAGAATCTATGAAAGACAGGTTGGAATAAAACGAATATTTTGTCGTATTCTTATCTGATACAAGGTACAGGTAGGTGAGAAGAAGCTCTAAGATCAGGGACATATCTTCAGGTTAAACCTATCCTTTAAATGTCCATAAAAGGTGAGGAGTTGCCTAGTAAGATCAGGGTAAGAATTTCAGTATAAAATAAATCAGAATCTATGAAAGACAGGTTGGAATAAGACGAATATTTTGTCGTATTCTTATTGATACTTATCTGATACAAGGTACAGGTAGGTGAGAGGAAGCTCTCCATTAAAGGTGTGATCAGGGACATATCTTCAAAGACAGGTTAAACCTATCATAAAAGGTGTTTAAATGTCCATAAAAGGTGAGGGAGTTGCCTAGTAAGATTAGGGTAAGAATTTCAGTATAAAATAAATCAGAATCTATGAAAGACAGGTTGGAATAAAACGAATATTTTGTCGTATTCTTATCTGATACAAGGTACAGGTAGGTGAGAGAAGCTCTAAATCAGGGACATATCTTCATGTTAAACCTATCTTTTAAATGTCCATAAAAGGTGAGGAGTTGCTCAGGGTAAGAATTGCATCAGGGTAAATAAAAAGATAGCAGGGTAAGGTTGGAATTTCAGGTATAAAATAAATCAGAATCTATGAAAGACAGGTTGGAATAAAGACTTGGAATCCACGAATATTTTGTCGTATTCTTATCTGATACAAGGTACAGGTAGGTGAGAAGAAGCTCTAAGATCAGGGACATATCTTCAGGTTAAACCTATCCTTTAAATGTCCATAAAAGGTGAGGAGTTGCCTAGTAAGATCAGGGTAAGAATTTCAGTATAAAATAAATCAGAATCTATGAAAGACAGGTTGGAATAAAACGAATATTTTGTCGTATTCTTATCTGATACAAGGTACAGGTAGGTGAGAAGAAGCTCTAAGATCAGGGACATATCTTCAGGTTAAACCTATCCTTTAAATGTCCATAAAAGGTGAGGAGTTGCCTAGTAAGATCAGGGTAAGAATTTCAGTATAAAATAAATCAGAATCTATGAAAGACAGGTTGGAATAAGACAAATATTTTGTCGTATTCTTATCTGGTACTAGGTACAGGTAGTGAGAGAAAGCTCTAAGATCAGGGACATATCTTCAGGTTAAACCTATCGTTTAAATGTCCATAAAAGTCGAGGAGTTGCCTAGTAAGATCAGGGTAAGAATTTCAGCATAAAATAAATCAGAATCTATGAAAGACAGGTTGGAATAAGACGAATATTTTGTCGTATTCTTATCTGATACAAGGTACAGGTAGGTGAGAAGAGGCTCTAAGATCAGGGACATATCTTCAGGTTAAACCTATCCTTTAAATGTCCATAAAAGGTGAGGAGTTGCCTAGTAAGATCAGGGTAAGAATTGCAGTATAAAATAAATCAGAATCTATGAAAGACAGGTTGGAATAAAACGAATATTTTGTCGTATTGTTATCTGATACAAGGTACAGGTAGGTGAGAAGAGGTTCTTAGATCAGGGACATATCTTCAGGTTAAACCTATCGTTTAAATGTCCATAAAAGGTGAGGAGTTGCCTAGTAAGATCAGGGTAAGAATTTCAGTATAAAATAAATCAGAATCTATGAAAGACAGGTTGGAATAAGACGAATATTTTGTCGTATTCTTATCTGATACAAGGTACAGGTAGGTGAGAAGAAGCTCTAAGATCAGGGACATATCTTCAGGTTAAACCTATCGTTTAAATGTCCATAAAAGGTGAGGAGTTGCCTAGTAAGATCAGGGTAAGAATTTCAGTATAAAATAAATCAGAATCTATGAAAGACAGGTTGGAATAAGACGAATATTTTGTCGTATTCTTATATGATACAAGGTACAGGTAGGTAAGAGGAAGCTCTAAGATCAGGGACA